CACTTTCAATGCAACAATGTCCTTCAAACTACCAAGTGAAGAGCCCCTATGCACATTTCCCTTGTCATATCGCGCCACTCTTGACGGCGAAACCGTCACCGTCTCCATCTCGACGATTTCTTTTGCCCTATGAAGCCAAAGTGAGTTACTTGCAACGATTTTTCTTCATTCGCAAAACTTCCCGAAAGCCAACTAAAAGTTGAAACACTGGCTAATGTTTACGAGCTTCCCATTCGGACTGATGTTTATACTGTAAGTAAAAGTCATTAGAGAGACGATTTTTCCCACAACTGCTTCACTCGCATGTCGTGCTGTTTCGAGGGGGTTTGAGGCCTGGGAACGGATCCAGACACAACGACGCAGTGTTTGGAGTGTAAATGAAAAATACGAGAAGCGAAGAAAAGAGATTAATTAGACTTGTTACTCATCTCTATTTATAGGTTTACTGAGATTGCAAGTCTTCAAATGGTTTTGGTGGGAGGAAATCCATGCTTTAGGGAAATTTTTCCCTTGTCAGTGAAAGTCAACGCCATTAGTTAGATAAACATTTTTTTTTACAGATAATTGATTTACATTAGGGGTGGCAATGTGTTGTTGAAATTAATTCTTGGGGAGGATTTCCCCATGTGTGTGTGTGTCAAAATGCAGAAAAACTTTATTATCCACGTGAATTCCTTGCACTGGGATAAACCTGGATAAACTTGGATAACAAGTTTAACGCATTCAGCTAACGATGCCGCAAGAAATGCACCTACAGTAAACTTATTTGAGTGCATTTTCCACTCTGAAACTCCGGCGGGAAGTTCTGTAAATCCTCAAGCAAGGCATTTTCGGGTAGATGTGTGATGTAAACTGAATTTCTAAGCATTTTCTCGCACAACTGGGGGAAACTTTAGGCTGATGCAGATGAAAAGCGAGTGGCAAAATAGTCGATTCGTTGATATGTGTGTTACTTAATTTACTAAATAGCACAGCTGCCTCGAATGCACAGTGCAAAAGTGTTGATCGAGAGTCTGATGATTGAATTGATGGCAAATGCCAAAGTTATCAGGGAAATGGCTTCTCTTGCACTCCCTCAAACCCCCCCATACTCTCTCTCGCTCTCTGCAAAGTGGCATCGATGCAAATGATGATGGTGTTTGCATATGATTTGCCTAACGAATGCCGAACACAATTGAATTTGGACAAATATCCATGGCACAATCTACATACATTTGTGACTCGACATATTCTTCACGTGATCACAGGCATTTTTTTCTTTTTTTTTCAAATCCATACCAACCAGAAGCACTCCCACATCCTCGAGCCCACCTACAGTGCAATCCAATCTGTTGGGGAGGGTGGAAAATTGATGAAAATCGCTATTGAAATGTGTATTGCCACGAAATTGGCTGGGATTCTTTGGAAAGGGCGGAAGGTAAATAAATTTTGGCCTCACGTGTGGTGGCTTTATTTAAATAAACAGCCATATCGACAAAATTATGATTATTGCTGAGCGTACATGAAAGTAATTTCTCTGATTCCCGTCATCATCATAAGGAAAATCGTTAGCTATTCTCCCCTTTTATTCCACGCCAAATCGACCGTTCTTTCTTAGGGTTTGCCACAGGGGTTTTCTTCAGGAAGTGTTGAAGGGCGAAGACGCCATTACAGCAAGTCACTGTGGATCGTCTCAATAATTGCAGGTGTTTTTTTCTTTCTTTATTTCCCACTCTTTCAAATAGAATGCAAAATTTACTAAAGCCCCGCCCACTCGAACGCTCCGCCCATTTTCTTGCACTATTGTCTCCTCATAAGCAAGATACACCTGAATTGAGCACTTTTTGGCAAAAAGAAATCAATATGGAAGCTGAAAAGCACCCAACAGAGCGTCAAGTTTAAAGAAAATGCTCCCCTTACACTCGAATCACTTCATTTATCATGTGAGACAGTGGTTTTGAGGGGTGAGACTTGGCCATTGACTGGAAATTTTGCCATGCCCTCGCAAAAAGCCACCCAATATCCATCGTGGCCACATTCGATGGCTGTATATTTATGTAAATAGCACTTCGCCCTCTGTTTTTCCTCTCGCCACACTTGCTCGCCTTCTTTGCATCTCAGGGTTGAATTGTGAAGCCAACACAAAAAGTAGCCTCTCGCTTCGGCACACAGAAAGTCAAAGTGGAGGCGAAATAAACCGCACAATTTCCATATTAAGGCGCTCATTCGGTATATTGAAAAGAAAATCCATAATCTTTGATGCTTCACGCCGAAGAAATCAATAACAGACGTGCGGAGTTTTTGGCATTTTGTGGGGGTGAGAAACTTAAAATTCAAGGCTCGAGTGGTTCGGTGATAAAAGAAAAACTGTCCCCCTGAAGAGCTCCGGGAAATAGTGGTGGAAAAATAATGATGAGGACTGTGAGAACCTTTCATTCTATGGAAATGAAGTCTTTTCACGGCGACAGAAGAGGATCTTCCTCCCCTTTTTTCAGTCTCAGGCGCAACACTCAAGAGGGTAAACTATGAATTTTCAATATTTAATGACTTCATTATCGCCAGTCAACAGTTCTTGCACTTCCGCATTGTCAGTCCAGCCGAAAAAAAAACCCCATGCGAATAAAGGAGAGTATGAATTCTAGATAGCAGAAGGACTATTCGTTTTGCAACCCCATCGGCACCCTGCAAATATTTACACGACGTGGATAATGAGGATTGAGGATGAGGAGCTCTGATAAGATTCTTTGAAAAATAAAAAATGCGACATAGAAAAAGTAAACAAATGAAGCGACAATTCCACACACAAAGAAAAAGGAAAGATCTTGTCCATCACCTCAAATGCCACCATTAATTATTGTCTCCTATCAGCCATGTTCCTCCCTGGCTAATCGCCCTCGAGAAGTCTCAATTGGGACGTGCTCAAATGGGGAGAAAGGCCAGAGAGTTGAACGAAGTGCAGCGATTGGAGATAAGAATGGAGACTGAGGGATGGAATATTAACAAGAAAGTCAAGATTATTGTTGACATTCAAGCAAGAGATATGGATAAAACTTTTTACAATGGATCAGATTAAGATATTGAGGTTGAAGATACTCAAGAGCAGTTCTTTGCATTTGAGGTGGAATTTTGCAAAAAAAGTGACATTCAATTTCCCTGCGAAATATTCGCTTATATAGAAATATGCTCGTGAGTGTCTTCTCATGCCGTTCTCAGACTAATATGTATATATATTATATATATATATATATAGATATTCATAAGAGATTTCGTGAATAACACAGATAAATTACACCATCATTCCATCAAATCATTCTAAATATTGGGATAGTTGTACAAAATTACTCAGCCAGTCACTTTTGATGCTCTTGGAATGTTCTAATAAGGTGTTCTTCAGGGGTGGAAAAACGACCACGACACGCACAATGTTCTGAATTTTTCAATCAACATTTTCTCCACAATTTCTCAATTGCAATTGGAATTGAAAAGAGGTTAATATAAAGTGGTTTTTCCTCAATGACTTCATCAATTTGTAAATGGTTTTTTCAACAAAGTGCGTGACAATGTGGCTTTAATAGATGATTTATTATTCATTCAAGTTAATTAGGAGTGTTTTTCCATTCACCCCTGCTCTGATTTTGCTACCGTCTTGTGTACATAGATGGCACAATGATACAGAGAAAAGAGACATATTAATAAACTTACGTGATTTTTGCTATACTTGGCGCCAAAAATCCTCCTCAGGTGAGAAAACATAAAAGTGAGTTGAAATAAGAATCTTTGCACTGTTTATTTTCCTTTTTTGCTTGTCATTTCTTAATGCGGGGATGTTTTTTCTTGTTAATGTCTTACATTGTGAATATATAGTGAAATAAGAAGTCATTTGTTTACTATTCATTCAGCACTTTTTTTTCAACTAAAAGCCAAAGAAACATAAATGTTTGTGACGAAAGATGTGTTGTTGAATTGCTGTTTATCAACTTAGGCAAAACCGAAATGAAAATTTAAGTAAAAAACACTGGCGGAAGGTCCGGAAAGTGGCGAAGGTGTAAAAAATTTGCCGTTGCCCGTAACACTTGTAAGCCTCAGTTTTGGACGGTTTCAATTGAAATCACAAAGGACAAACACCAAAACCCGTTCAAAACTAACGCCCACAACCATGTTTCTCTACCATAGAATCCTCTCTCTTTCTCTCCCATGTTGCTCAAAAATCCTGCAAATTGAATCTTCATATCTTCAGTTATCTCGTCTCTACGCTTATCAAGGCATGATTATAATATTAAGACAGAAAGAAAAACAGATCAATCTTCGTACAACAATCAGATATTTACAGCGAGAAATCGTTCGGCTCAAATGCAGGAAGAAAGTGTCCCACTAAAATGTTGTTCAGTCAGCGGAAAAATAGGTCAAGAGAGGAGTTGAAAGAGGACTTCAAAGAAAGACACAATGATGGCATTCACAAGAATTAGAGGTTATAATTGAACATAAAATAGACGTTCTCTCTTCAATTAAAAAAAAAAAAACATTAATTTGCATGAGTCACAGAGAGTGAAGATGAAAAATAAAATACGTACAAAATGTTAGGAGCAAGAGAATGGAAAGAGGGGTTTGGATTTGGCAACATCAAAGCAACTTTGCTAACAATTAATTAATATCATTAGCTAGAAGCCATTCCGGATGCACTTTTCGCTATATAGAGGGTTTTTTGCGTCAGATTTTTCACAATTTCTCCAGCACTAAAGAGATACACATTCAAATTCACTTTGTGGATGCCAGACAGAGAGCCACGCCGGATGTTGCTGGGTCGCTTAGGAATCCCACAGTGCCAATCAATCATCCTCCCAACCCTCAAGAGTCCCAGGATAAGAGCGTCAACAGTGGAAGGACATTATAATTACCCAGAAAAGTGTCAACCTTCGGTAAGCTTATGAGTATGTTTATCGAGTGGTGGTAATGATTTCCAGGAGCTTTCAGGAGCGACAGAAATTTCAAGGGACTTTAATTAGGAAGTAAGTTATATTTACCGCACTTTCGTCCATGGAAATTCATTGATCTTACCTGGAAAGACATAAGAAAAATAGAAAAAAACACATTAATTCACAAAATTCAATCTAAAAGTCATTGCAACTTTATTTTCATATCATTTCGTGAATTTGTAAAATTGCGTTTCGTATGAACATTGAGTTTCATAACATTTACTGAAGAAGAATTTTATGCATGAAACAATTCAATTTCTTGATTATTTCATACAAATTTTTTTATTATTATTCTATTCAATATTTGATTATGTTGCTTGGAAAATAATCATATAATGAATATTTTATTCAATATTTGATTTTCCCATACAAACTAATAATCAATATTTAAATATTTGATTGAGACCATTAAGTTTCCTCAAAAATCGCCTTCTGACTTGCCCCTTGAGTCAATTTCTTCTATTTCGTCGTGTGAAGGCAAAACAAACTGGAAAATTTACAAGAAAATAGGCGTCAATGTTGTTTTTAAGTTACTAGCGCCAATATAAGCCATGAAAAGCGTAAAGTCGCAACGTAAATTCGTAGCTTTTATGAACTGAAATGAAAAATCTGTAAAACTGCAACGACCCCTATTTTCTCTAATCAAGTGTGCTAAAATACAGCAAATTTCCCAAAATTCCTTGGTTCTTGGCAATTTTCCCAGTAATAATTTCATATATGATGTCCAAGAATGGCCTAATTAGAAAATTTCCCATGATTTCTAATACAAAGTAAACTCTGAGACGCAGACAATTCCTTAGCGCATAAGTTCCGTTCTGTTGACTTTCCCAAGAGCTCAGCAGCAGCCTCGAGGTCCGCTGGGGCCGCTGCGATATGATAATAAATGGCGTGTGTGCGCAAGAAAGCACGGAAGACTGGGCGAAGTTTTGCTGAATCCAATGCACTGCACAATACAAATCAATGATCCACGACATTTTATGCGTCTGGCGAAGTTTTGCTTGGCCCCCCAATCATCTTAGGCAAAGATCATTAGCCACAGTCATGGAGCTCCGCTTCCACGCTGCATTTCTTTTGCAGCGTCTCGTGCGCGATGGCGTGAACAAATTGCAAGGCAATGTGGCGCACAGAGTCTGTGAGAAATCTTGGGCAATTTTTATCCTTCGCCAGCAAAGTAACTTCCACCATTGATTTTCCATCTATTTGCTAATTCTGTCGATTTTCACTCGTCAACGGGCATAAATTTTCTCCTCCTGTCCCTGGAAAGAATCACTTTTATGGCCCATGTCGTGAAAAAGTTGTGCGCCCACGCGTGGAAAAATCATCTTTTATTGCCACCAGATATAATTTATACTGTATTTTTTCTTCTTTCTTCTTCTTCTTCGGGAAGGGAAACGGAAAATTTCATATTTATATCAATTTAACAAGGTTTTATATCGTCATTCATTTTTTTTCCCCACTCTTTCTCACTCACCAATCGCGCGTCTCTTTGTCGTCAAAAAGAGCACAAATTTCACGGAGAATTTTCACGTTTAGGAAGACAAAAAAAAGAGAGACAAAGAAGGAACGACAAAGCCCTGAGGATTAAAGGTTCTGGCCGAAGTTTTCTCAGGTGTTGGACGGGAAATTATTTCGTTGCGCCCGTGAGAAATTCCGCCACAGCAGAAGAAGGGATTAAAGCGCGGTCAATCCAGGCGCTTTTCTCGGTCATGAGCTTTGTGACACTCAACACCTTGTGGTTTTGACGCTTTCGCACCTTCATCCCCCACCCCTGTGGCTTCTCAGGTTAATTTCTCCCTTCTCAGACGCCTTGCGACACTTCCTCTCATCCGCCACAGTCTTGGTCAGTCTTTGGCGTATTGTCTTATTTCTCAGACCGTTTTTATCGCTTTCTCCCCGTGACAATTCCATCAAAGGGTGAAAAGCTCTAGAGATGACTCTTTCCAGCAGAAAACTTCAATGAGAAAACAACGCAAAGCTGCCTTATTAATGTGGCAAAAAATACAACAAAGGGCTTTGAAATGTTAGCCTTTCACACTCAACAGCGAAAAGGGGTTTTTCCTGTCGCCCTTTTTGCCTGCGTAAAGTAAAGACAGTTTTTGTAATATCACAGTTTTTTTTAATATTATCCTGAAATCTATCATTTTAATTTATAGGTCAATACAATTTCAAGGGGAAAATCACTAGTATTGGAAATATTTTTTGAATATTCAAATTAAGAATGGATATTTAAAAAAAAAATATTTTCAGATATTTCAGTCAAAATGCAAATATTTCCGACTTGGTAAAATATTAATTTGACTGAGACGATGAGAATTCTTCAAAAATTGAAGTGAATTTCCTCTTGTGCGATTCATAAGTCATAAGTTTTTCACCTCAAATTGATCCACACTTTTAATTCTTACGTGAGAAGACGTCTAATTACAGTCCCTTAACTTCCAAGACACTCATCGCCGGTCGATGACAGGTGAAAGTCATGAGAGAATCTCCCCACATCGACTCGGTGAGATATCAAAGGCAAGACATACGAGGCCAGAAGTGATAGTGCGCGCCCAAAAATAGCTCATTACGATTCCGCTGGTGTTGTTAGCATACAATGAGTTGAGGGCAGAGGCACGCCAACCCCAGGAACTCCTTGAGTAACTATTTATAAGGCGCACATAAAAATTCCAGCACGCAAATCAATAGGGCTGAACCTCGCCATGAAAGGGTGTTTCGCGTTATGGTGAGCACATGTAATAGCACCGGAAGAGTTCTCATGCGAGAAAGCCAGCAGAATGCAAGGGATTTTCTTGGAAATTTGCCTGTGTTCACTTTTGATATTAATTTCCTTTTGCAGGATTTCCTATCATATTTTCATTTTGGGTGGAATGGTTGGAATTGTGGGTGGTTTTTGCACGATAGAGAAACCGATTCAGTTGCGAAAAATGTCTTACGAAAACCCGCCACTGAAACTTTGTTGCTCAAGTGCTGTTATGATGTCGCAAAAGGATAATTGGATAACTTCATATTCAATAAAATGTATATGTTAAATTTTTGCCAATCATTAAACTTCTCAAAATTGCGGGAGAAATTTTTATATATGCATTTTCTCTCCGTTGTGCTGTAAATAAAAGATATATATATATATATAGGTATGATCTGAATAGCAATTTCGCAAAGGAAATGGCCAAAGGATGAGCTGAGGGACTGGTGGAAATACCTGGACGACATCTTAACCTCCGGACTTTTTGGGGGGGAAGGCGGTGAATTTTGTCCTGGAAGGAGCTACAGAGTTATAAAGGATGTCATTACGGGACATGTCAAAAGCACTCAATGTGGATTCTCTGTGTTTGCCGTTTCATAGCGCGCTCGTGGGCGAGGAAAATGTGTGGCAAAAAGGAATTTGTGGGGTGACCTCAAGACAGTCCTTCGCGATCCCCTCACAAATATGACCGACGCTGTGTGTCGGAGAGCTTTTATAATTTTATGTACACACACACACACTCACCGGTGCTTTCAAAAGCCATACACGCGTCCGCTTTTCGGGGGTGCAAAATTCACGTGTTCCAGCGAGAAAAAATCGACTCTCTGTGAGAGGTTCTTTGAACTTTCCGACCGTGAATTTGCGCCCGTGCCGAGTGTGTCCATATGGGCGCAAATTTAATTGCCCCAACTTTATGTGGGTGACTCTGCAGCAAAACCTGATGGAAGGGCTTTTTGCCCGGACGTGCGAGGGAAAATTGCAAGAAGCGCACTCGTTAAAATTCCAAATTGCAGAGATGATGTGAGGCCAAGGGGGAGATAACACAACCAGAAGTGATGTACAGTTCAGCAGGAGTACTTAAGAAGTGGAAGTGCTCAAAAACTCACAATCTTGCTTTCCTGCGTGCTTCTTTCACTAACAGATCATCCCCATTCTTTAGGTTTCTCTTGAATTGTACGAAGAAACAATGTTTTTCTAGGTTATGTAACTGTTTCATTCGCACTCTAGAACAGCAATTCTTATGCCAAAATCACTAAGGTTGTTAATCATTGCCAGAATTAAGCATTTTCATGCTATAAATATTTCTATTTTGAATCTTTGATGGCAAAAAATACTGCGAATTGTGTTAGAGCCGAACATAACCTCAAAAATATTGATTTGTACTTGAAAAATGTTTTCCTACACCACTTTCTGCACGATTTTGTCACTGAATCAAGTTGATTTTGAGTTTAGTGCTGATATTGACATCTAGAAACCTTCCAATTTAAGTCTTTTAAGACTTTCTTAGTGATATTTTTGAGGTTATGGTTGGAAAAGACGCTCAGAAAAACGGTTTAAAGTGGATTTTTACAGAAATATCGTATAAAACCGTAATTAGTTTAAAAATTTAAAGTGCTGACAGTGTTAGGAAGTGGTGTACATATTAAGAGCATATTATCTCCCTCTTGAGTGATGCTGTGGGTTTTTTTCATTGGACAAAGAAAGAGTGAGAGACACTTTGAAGTGAGTTGAAGAGCAAATTCAACAGTTAAATATTATACCAGGGAAAAAAGGGCACACTATAATATCGTATGGCGGGAAGAGCTTTTTGAGTTCTTTGTTGGCTTCCCACGAATAATAGGAAGTTAGTTCTATGCATCTTACATACACACACGCGCGGATTGCATGCAACTGTGAGGGTGTATTTTCAAAATTGCCTCCCCTTTTCAACGAAAATCCCCCACGTCGTGCCCATCATCGTCTCAGTGGCATCAATGCCATCATTAAATTCACATAATGACGGCGAATGGGGAGAAGTTGGGGGTAGAATGTGTGTACTTGGCACTTATTGAGGAACTTTCCGTGCGGATTCCCATCAAACGGACTCGAGGCAGGAAGATAAGGAATGCGCGTACAGGAAATTAAATGTCATTTGTGATTTATTGAACGACTCACACACACACACACATTATTTCATCCAATGCACACAATGCCAAGCAGACGGAGTGGATTTTCGGGTTTTCCATCCCGGAAGTCGTCTCACGTGATAGTCTAAGAAGGTGTGACAGGCAATCTTTAAGGAAATCGAACCATCTTGCATCGTGAAGCGCGCGCGCTGAAAAATCACGATAAAGCTCATA